TTCATTATTTTTATTGCTTTCGACTTTAATCTCTTGTTGTTCATTATTTTTATTGCTTTCGACTTTAATCTCTTGTTCATTATTTTTATGGGTTTCGACTTTAATTTCTTGCTCATTATTTTTATTGCTTTCGACTTCAATCACTTGTTGCTCATTATTTTTATTGCTTTCGACCTCAATCACTTGTTGTTCATTATTTTTATTGCTTTCGACTTCAATCACTTGTTGTTCATTATTTTTATGGGTTTCGACTTCAATTTCTTTGTGTTCATTATTTTTATTGCTTTCGACTTCAATTTCTTTGTATTCATTATTTTTACTGCTTTCGACTTTAACTTCTTGGTGTTCATTATTTTCATTGCTTTTAACATCTATTTCTCGTTGTTTATTATTTTCACTGCTTTTAACATCTATTTCTCGTTGTTTATTATTTTCACTGCTTTTAACATCTATTTCTCGTTGTTCATTGTCTTTGTTGCTTTCAACAATCGCGAATGAAGTTGAACCCGAGTTCTTGCGCGAAGTTAATTGATGAAAAAAGTTGGACAGAAAATTTTTTATTTTAGTCATATTTGTGTATTGTGATTTTGGGTATTAAATACAGAGGGTGTTTAGGTTCGTTGGATGAGATTTTTATACAATCTTCAATTTCCATATGATGCAAAGTTCGTAACTTCATTATTTGGTATCACGAATAAGAAAAGAATATTCCTTATTCCTGTAACAGATTTTTTTTTACGCTTTAGGCGATGTTCGATTCCGCATTTATTCGAAGTGAAACGTATGATGATTTTTGAGTTACTCTTCCTCCCGTGAACCTCTAAAATTGGCAATACATGTACATATTTGGCACATCGTGACCAGTTAATTTTGTTTAAAAAAAAGGCACAAAGTTACGATTCCATCCGTGTTTTTTTCATTGCACTTTTTCTTTCCATTCTAGGAACAAATTACATGAGGTAACAATTGTGATAATGCATTTAAACAAAACATCGGAACTGATTCGATATAAGGGATAATAAATATTTCATAAGTACCGTTTGACGATTTTTTTTCGATGTCAGTTCGTGAAGTTTTTTTTATAACATTTAAAATTAAAATTTGATAATACACTATATAACATGTATGTACAGCATGAACATATTATGAAGTTTTAATCGCCTCAAGATAAAATCTTTAATTAAGACTTGTAATGTTTACACTGTACATGATGTATTTGAACGATTTCCGGATTTACTGTCACAGCATGTATTAGTCATGAGCTGATTTAAATTAATTGATGTACAGATGGTACTACGTTAACGTTACTATTGTAAAAAAAATTTTATCTATTGAATAACTTCGATTCTGCTTTTGTACTCAAGTGGAAACTCCTTAGAAAATGAATATTCCACATTTGAAAAGTTCTTTTGTTAACAGGTTCCCACATAATGAATCCTTCGGATATACTGTATTTCATTGGAAAATAGGGTTTATAAAGAAAATATAAAGAAAAGGTTAAATGAGAATTTACCAATGTGTCTGAAATAAGAAAAAATGACTTGTGCTAAGAGATTTTTTTTTTTTTTTTTTAAAAAAAAAAAAGATTCTCTAAAACTTTGTACAGCAATCGTGAAATATAAGCCCAATTACGCATTTAGTACCACAAGATCTTGTACAGTTCCGGTACCAGAGTACGGTATGACATATTTTTTGATGAATCGGTGAATCAGGAATTCTTCCGGTGACGGAAACTAGGAAACAAGTTTTCGAATTATAATATATACTCTGGCAACTTCTTTATTACGTAAACAACCGTATACGGTATTAATCAAATTCTCCAATATTTTGTTAAAAATCAAAGATTACAAATTATTTTATTTCTTATGTTTCTTAACCATATTCTTTTTTTGTTTTCTTAATTCATTTTCATATTTCTTCTCACGGCTTCTAAAACAAGATTCATGTCACAAGTCTTGATATCAAGCTTTAGCATATTGATTTTCTTTTTGTAATAATAAATAATAATAATAAATAATAATAATAATAATAAATAATAATATTGAATCTTTGTACAAACTAATACTGTATATCGTAATTCTAAATGTAAGAGAGGATTTGCGTTGTCACATGAACATATGCATATGCAATGATAATCGCAAATCTTTGAAATCTGGAATTCTCTGCATTATAATTGCGATACTGTAATTATTTTCTTTAATTTTTTTATTATATTCGTGATAATTGAAATAGTTATTCAAATAAATATAAATACGAATTGATTTTTAAGTCTGTTTTATAATGTTTTAAAGAAATACTCCAATCCAATTATGATGCCTCAACCTTCAATTCTTTATATAATTATAAAAATCAATAGCTATTTACATAAAGTATACTATAGTTAAATAGTCACATATATAAACTACTAAAAATATTATTTCAAAATTAATGAATTAATTAAATTTTTGATAATCATTATTTAAATCTCAAGACAACATTTTCAAATATTTTATTTTTAAAGTATTTAAAAATTTATTTTAACTATAAACAAAATTAATTAAATATATTTTTTTAAAAAGGGTTTTTGAAATAGTTGAAAGAAAAGTTAAAATATTATTTAATTATTTACTTTTAGAAAATACTGTAGTTTTATAAAATTTGATTATATATTTATTTTGAAACAATATTAACACGGTTTAATAATTATGTTAATGATAATCTTCTTGTTTTAATAATATATTTAATTTATATAATAATATTATAATACGTAAATAAAATATTTTTAATACTGGACATGCCAACAGCCTCCTTACTCGGTAGTGTAAAATCAAATTCATAAATCCCATCATCACTACACTATTAACTATTACCCTATCAAAATCTTTTTCATGGTTTCATTATCAAAAAACATCTGCTTCGGATCGTATTTTTTCCTGACTTCTTCGAATATCTTCCTTCTCTTCCCAAGACTTTTCCGAACGTACGGTATAATGTCCGGCACATGTTCCCATAACTTTGCCCAATGTGGTTGAGCATGGTATTTACTCATCCATCGTTGAGCAAGTTCTATTGAAAATTCTTGAAAATCCTTTGTGCCATTGACAGAAAGTATTTCCAAAAGGAAGAAGTAGGTGTCCGGATCAGGGTCATAGGTGGGAGCGAGAAGATCCCGAGAGGATTTATTGATTCGGAATTCCATAGACATGTTCATCGGATATTTTTTCTTTTCTGCATATTCATAGACCTAGTTGAGTAGGGATGTGGGGAATGAGAAAAAAGTCAAGACGACTGCAAGAAATTTTCCAAAGATTTTAAAAATACAATTTTACCCTTTTGATAACATGATTAAATTCTTCGATTGCAATATGAAAATCTTTATCAAGCTTGATGGCAAATTCCATATCCATACACGGTACAGCGTCAATACCAGCCTTTCATGTTATAAAGAGTAAAAAACAATTTCATTTAGTGCGTGATATGGTACAAGCATCTAAGACTGGTAAACAGGCTGATTTCGACCCTTATAACGTACCCGCCAATGGATGGCATCTGGTGCCTCTAAAATTTGATCGGCACGGTGATCAATCCCAGCCTCGAACAAAAGATGCGATACGAACGGTGTAGATTCTGGTACTTTGGCCATAAACTCGAATAAATGATCTCCAAACTCCAATTCCAAAGTTTGAAACATATTTTTCACTTTTTCATCAGTTGCACTCACAGTGGCCATGTCTTCTGTACGCAAAAATTGCTTTATCCAAATTCTATCGTTTTCAGCCCCGAAACCTGGGTTATTGAATTGCCAGTAAAATACTTCGATAGAATCAGATGAATTAACCAGGTTTTTTAGGTTTGGTGCGTTCCAAGAAGTCACCAACGGGTCGAAAATATCGATCATCCGAATGTTGAACATTGGTTCTACGACGAATGTCAACTGGTAAATTATTCCCAGGAGACCTGCATGCGGAAAAGAAAAGAAAAAAATTAAATGACAAATGAACTATGAAATAATAATACTAATATTATTATTTACCCAAATTAATTCTGGCGGCACTCATCTCCACTTTGTCAATGTCATCGGAAAATTCCCTTAATTCACCGTCAGCGGTGACAATTTGAAGTGACACAACTTTATCCGGAATATTCGAATTAGCACACTTTGCTCCATGGCATCCGGTCGCTACAATGCCTCCTGCTGTTACCGTGTTCAATACTACGCAAGAATCAAGAGCCAACGGAGGATCGTGTTTACGGAGTACCTTATCGAGATCTTTCAGGTAGATACCTTTATAATTTCGTAAATAATTAAAAAAAGATTATTATCCCAAGATACGTCAAAGTTGTAATAATTCTCGCTTACCAGCCCCGACGGTGGCCGTCCAGCTTTTCAAATGATTATTGTACTTAATCTCAACCGAATTCACATTATCCATAATCACCAAATATCCCGAAGTTACGCTTAAACTACTCCAGGTATGCCCCGCAGCAGCACAACGAATTTTTTCATTATTTTCTTTTGCTTCTTTCACAATTTTTTGCAAATCATGTAAATTTACAGGACGAAAGATTTTCTTTGGGGTGGATTGTTGATTACCCGCCCAATTTTTCCAAGTGTGTTCGTGATGTATAATAGCGTCTTTGGTTTTTGTGGTTAATTCTTTCCATGTTCGACTCAAGCGTGCCGTCATTTTTGAGAGGATGGGAATTCAAAAATTGCCGAAAAATTGATGGATATAAGGGTTTTCGAATAAATTCAATATACCCAAATTCAATGTATCAACGGCCATTGATAAGATACGTGTGTAAGCAATTGTTTGCGCGTAGCATATTTTCAAACTCAAAAGTCATTGAACACACGCACGAAATAGATGACATTAGAAAATGTATATGATCTATAGATTTCCTATCACGGATAGAAGAATAAATGATTTACAAACGCCGGTGTAACTAAAGGAAAAGGTTAACTAAAAGCAAAAAAAAGTTACTCCAAATAGAAATAATTTTACATTTATATGCATTTGTATGCGTACAAAAAATTTTTTCTATTATTCTTTTCGTTTTGTTTTGTAGTCAGGTACTTATGTCAGCTGCGGGTCGTTATTTCACAAGAAGTAGGTGATTGTTATGAATATATCCTACTACTATTCATTTATATGCTTTATATACTTGAGGTAAATATTTTATACAGTATATCCAATTGTTTTTTATATATTATACTTTAATATTCATCTATTTTTTTTGAAAAAAAAAATATTTAATTTATTGTACATATAATTATATGTATACTTTAAATTCCAGTATAAAAATTATGATCCATTTATTAATTATTATTTTTTTTTTTATAAATGAACATTTCTTTATCTATTTGTATATAACATGATTTATTTTATTTTATTTTATTTTTTTTTTTATAGTGGAACGTACGCAAGGTGCGTGATCTTTATTGATACGTTATATATCCAGACAGACACCAAGT